CAATACCTAACTGGTCGATACCATTTTGTGATATGGTAAAAACAATTCCTTAATATAAAATAAGTTGATTATTATCTCGAGGGATTAAAGCTGGGACCTTTACTTTCAGGGTGAATGCTTCACCACCTTGCCATGGTGGGTGGGGGCAGATTCCATATTATTACAGTGTATAGTACGTGTCTATGTGAATTGTGAACTACTACCTAATTTACAATGTACTATTGGAAGGTTTCGCAAATAAAAATAAGACTTTGCTTTATTATTACAAATATTTCTTTTAGGAAAGTACATTCTTCAGATACATTATACTTACATGAACTTCATTAGGAGTATGACTATGAGTGAGGTCTAGATCATACAATGTATCACTTTCTTTAACCAAAAAAAAAACACAGAAAAAAATGACAGTTCATGTGGGAAATCTCTTACCTACCCAGTAAAGTGTGTTTAAACTTGTTCCAGAAACAGAAACATTGGATGACATTTTTTTCTTTTTTCGAAAATGGAGAATTATTTTTTCTAAATTAATTATTATTATAGTTCAAACATTAGTTAAAAATCGAGTCAGCTGCGAACAGTTGTGATATTTATTACATAAGTTATACAAAGATATAGTCAGTGACAGCAAAAATGCTTGTTTTACCTGTTCTTCAGGTGGTATGGATACTATTGATGGAGGACTAGGTCTAATAAAATAGAAGTGATCAGTAAAAATATTTAATAAACAATTTTAAAATAATGTTTAATGATTAAAGATACTACTTTTTCTTTTAAACAAGCCAAATCAAACAAATCTACTGTATTAGGCCTAATGTTAGAAAGGACATGGACTTCTATTGTTGGTTTGGGTTAAATCCCAGCACTAGGAAATCAGAATCTGTTCTTACAATAACATGACTTTATTTAATATGAATTCAAATATATTTTCAGGGAAGGAAATATTATTTGGGGAGATTTTCACAAAATAATACTTAATATTAACAAATAATTATGTATAGATTGAAAGTATGAATATTTATATCAATCATATTGATTTCATTCATTCATGTAATTTATAAATGTCAAACATACAAAATAGAAAATATATTTCATAGTTACCTGCTACTTGCACTGCTTGCCAAATGTTTCTTTAAAACACAGAATGAAATGTTATTTTGGCATTTCGGACACTTCTGTGTCAACTCAGAGTCCTCATCAGTTTCCTAAAAGAGTAAACAATTAAAAATGATGTATTAATCATTTATAAACTGTCATTTATATTTTATCTATTAGAACTTTCTTAAGGATGTGTTTCAAATTCACACATAACTCGAGCGCCCTTGAATATTATTTAATGGATACTTGCGCTTAGGTGAATTTGACTGATTGATTGATAACTGATCATATTATGCCTCTTTACCCTTTCTGAATCCATGTTTAGTGCATGTTGAATTGGTCGTATATAGACTCTACATTGACCTGATTTTTCTTTTATATTCAGGGGTGAATATTCCCCCTAATTGGGGTAAGCTTTCTTCCACTCCCAAAGCATATTATTATCTCAAAACCCCCAGCATCCCTCAGCTTGGGAAAGTTAGCATATAGTACTTCCTGGAATTCATCCGGATTTATACTGTTATGTACTGTTATGTTATTTTCACCAAGCCCAGCTTCTGCTAGTTGTTGCTTTTGCCAACATTTTGGTGTTATTGTCGATGGATCTGACAGGCAAACTATCTTCCGAGTCCATGGCGTCTTC